TAGAAACAATTCATGCTAGGAGAAGGCAGACAAGGTTCTTTGGGTGAATCTGGTATCTTTTATTAGACCAACTGAAATAGTTGGGAAAAAAATGTTAAGCAAGCTTTTGGGTTTAAAAACCCTTTGTCAGGCTGAAGAAATTTCTGCAGTTGGTGCGAGCTCTTCCTGGATGGGGATTCACCAGATGTTTTACAAATGGAAGTGTTATCTGCCAACAGGAACAGTCAACCCATCATTGGTTGGAAGTGGCAGATGCTCTGGGGTGTTACTGGAGCAGTGAAAGAAAGCATTTCATATACAAAAGAGCTCCTTGCGTAATGAGAGAGCAGACAGAACAACACGGGGATTGAAGGACAGAGGATCTAAGACTATTTGGCAGCATTAATTTGTGCTTCCTTCAGAGGAGGAACAGATTATCTGATCACGGAGGAGGCTGGGATCATCTGGAGAGAGGCAAAAGCCTATGGACTCTCCGGTTCCAAGAAAAACAGCAGCATTTGCCACCTGGTGTAGCTGACCTAGCTGTAGCTCTTCTGGGCTGTCTGTGCCCTTGGTAACACAGATCCTTTTACAGAAGTGCTGCCACTGATTCCGGTGTCTGTTCTTGGCCAGAAACTCCCCTCACCAAAATGCGTGCAAGGATGGGACTTACAATTACTAAGCGCTGCAGGATCCAAATGGTGTCCGCCAGGTGCTGAGAGGAGCTTGGCAAGGAGAGGGAGAGCTGCTCTGGATGCTCTTTGGTGGAAATGCCTCCATCGCCCACCTTGCCCTGTGAAGCTCCTTCCTTATAATGTGAGGGTAAAGGGGCTTCTCTAAACTAAGCTGCTGCTTCCCTGCTAATGTGTTTTCCTGCTCTTTATCCGCTGATTTTTGGCCCTCTAGGCACCCGTGTTAGAACGATCTCAAATAACACAGCATTTGCATGCACGCACAAAGCTGATCCAGTGGCACTTGTGTGTACATGAAGCTTTGTGTTTTATGTTGACTTTGGTTTCTCTTGCCTGTTGTTTCCTCATTTGGTAAGAGGGAAGGCAGGCAGTGGGGGAGTTTGCTGCCACTCCCTGACTTGTGAGTGTTTCTGTATCATGTGAGACGAGTTGTTTGCGAGCAGAACCTGTCTGGCAGGTCTGATTTGGGTTTCGAAAGAAGGAGTGGCATGCAGAAACCAGGGGACTCTGTGAACAGGCTTAGTCTTCAGGTAACACTTGTCCTGTCTTCTTAGAGGCTTCTTCCACTCTGTCCTGCAACCATGGAGTCTAGGCTTGGGATTGTGCTGGTTTTGATGCTGGCAGCTGTATCATCAGCACAGGACTGTACCTGTGCAACCAACAAACGGACAACGTGCGCTCCGGACCGGTCTGGGATCTGCGTCTGTAGGTTGATCGCTTCAGCATGGGTAGCAAATTGTTCGACATTGACTTCGAAATGCCTGCTGATGAAAACAGAAATGACCCCGTCAAAGGTCAGGCGCGTCCCCTCTCATGGCTTTTTGGACAACGATGGCATTTATGATCCAGATTGTGCAGCCAGCGGTGCTTTCAAGGCCAAGCAGTGCAATGGGACTGATACCTGCTGGTGTGTGAACAGTGCTGGAGTAAGAAGAACGGATAAGGGTGAACGGACAAAATTAAATTGCAGCGAGCTAGTTAGGACAAACCACATCTTCATCGAGCTCAAACACAAGAAAAGGTCTGATCCCTTCGTTAATTCTGAAGTAGCAAATGCTTTGAGGTACACCATTCAAAACCGATACAAACTGCATCCTAATTACATCGGAGACATTGATTATGAGTATCCCTTTATCTCTATTAACCTAAAACAAAATGCTTCCCAGAAATTGAACAGTGATGTTGATATAGCTGATGTGGCTTATTACTTTGAAAAAGATGTCAAACGCGACTCCATATTTCATTCCAGTAATCCATTCTCTCTGTCTGTCGGGGGAAAGCCTCTGGATGTTGAAGAAATGCTAATCTACTACGTTGATGAAAAGCCACCAGAGTTTTCTATGAAACAGCTGACTCCTGGTGTTATTGCAGTGGTGGTATTTGTGATATTGTCTCTTTTCATTGGGATTACTGTGCTGGTTATTACCAGGAGGAGGCGGATAGGGAAGTATAAGAAAGTTGAAATTAAGGAGATGGGTGAAATGAGAAGAGGACAGAACGTATAGTTGCTGTAAACTGAAGATGGAAATAAGACTTTGAAAAAAACCGAATGAAAACAGCAGGATTTATAGTGTGTTTGTGTGGGTGGGTCTGAGGGCATGTTTTTCTAAATCCTGAAGCTTAGAAAGCCATTGTTATAAGACCCAAATGAATTTAGATACTTAAGAATAGTAATAATTATTCTCTCACATATACATTTGTCTGGGAGCTGTTTAAAACCTGTTTCAAAGAAAAGATGGGGAGGCATCTTGTTGCTAAATTTTCCAGGCATATAGTTATATTTTCAAAGGACAATAAAGTTGTTACAATTTGTAGCATATGTATTTGGCATAGGTCATAATACCTGCATTCATATGATCAAAGCTCTTGTTAAACTTCCTTATGTACATTTTATGGCGCTCCTTTTTTGTCACACTCCATTACTGATGCTTGAGTTATGTGCTGGTTCACTTGACAAGTAAGGTTGGCTTTCTGTTTTAAAAAGATGTTTTAAGATAGGCTCTTCGATAAAGTTGCCAGAATTTTTTTTTCACCAATTTTGAATTTAATAAATTCCTTTAAATAACAACAACAACAAAGCAAAACATTTGTAACAGTCTCCTTGGCTTACAACATTACAGCCTTTCACATATTCACCCATTTGTCTACAACCGTTTTCCAGGTGCAAAAATATTCAGGAATTCAAAGTTGTAGTCACACAGCCTCTTGCTCTGATCCCATGTGGACTATCCAACAAGGGTCTGGCCACTTATACCTACAAAATGTCCCTTGATATTAATATAAGAGTAGGGGAGTTAACTTTGGTGTCCTGCCCAAATTCCAGTGCTGGTAATTGCTTTTTGTCTGCTTAAATTTCCCTTGCAATTTCAATAAGAGAAGGTATTTTTCACTGTATTACAGCCTACAGCACTTCTACAGTGTTTGAGGACAAGTTGTGAAGAGCGCTCTATTTCATTAGAGCTGCAAGGAGTAAGCAGAATGTAATTATCCATGCTGGAATTCAGCCAAGACACCTACACATCTACAAAATAGTTTATGATGTAGGTCATTTTCACCGTGAAGGACTTTTTTTTTTAATTAAAAAAGACAAAAACAGGGGAAATTATGGTTACTCTTAGATGTTAGAATAGTGGCAGAACTGTTGCATATATCTGGGATTGCATGTGGGGGTCTAAAATTCTACTAGATAGTTTGATAACTTGCAAAACATGGCTCTTTGAGTAGGCATTATAACAGGTCAGCTGTCCAGTTCACTTTAGCAGCCTTAATTTATTTGGTTTGGTCTGTTCAGTATTATGCGACTCCTATGGCTAGTTGCTTACTAACCAAAGATCAGAAGTATTCTGTTTCATCTAGGAAAAAATGATGGGGGTTGCTGGGAGTCAGGAAGCCTCAACTGTATTCCCAACTTTCCCTCTGCCCCATGGTGCCAGCTAAGACAAAGTCCTCAGTTTCCTCATCTGAAATACGTGGGTAATGGTACTTTCCCTCCTTTAAGACGGATGACTGAAAGACATTATGTATGAGCCAGATCTAGCTGTTGTTCTCTTATCTGTAGGATCTAATTAAATTTTACTACTGATTATATTCTTCGTAGTATATGATGCTTGAAGACGAGTGTAGATTACCTATTGCATGTTACTTACCCAATATAGATTTTGCACCTTCCTTCCAGGGACGCATCAAAACATTATGAACTTTGGAAGATGCATTATACCTTTCTATAGCACCACGCACAATAGAACCAACTTTGCGTTTAGACACTGCTCAAGTACAAAGGTTAATGAGGAAAGGACCTGAACCAAATCTCCACACCTGAATTCCCCCACCCCATTGGGAAGTTCTGAGTCTGACCTCACCTCGCTCCATAAGCCAGCTTTGTGTTTCATCTTGTCCTCTATAATTGGCTGACTTAAAAATGGACAATCTGTAGCTGAACATCTCAGCTTTGGAGAATTGCAGCCCAGAATCAAAATCCATGCCTCAGGATCATCACAGACAGCTTTTGTTTCTTGTGTGTGTGCAGAACTAGAGCATGCCATCTGCGTGGTATCCCTTGGAGTCTTCCCTTCCTCAACAACAATGTTGCATGCTGGGCAGTTTCCTGACATCACCCTACTGCAGTGTGCCTGCCCATGGGATTATCCCTAAGGCATGCTGTTCTTTCACTTCTTTCTGACCCTTCCAGGTTCCTGGTGATAGTCACTGGAAATTCTTCCAATCCCTAAACGCATTTCAAACACAGGACCAAGAATAGCTACCAGATGGTAACAGCAGCAGTCATTACTGACCTGGGAAATTAAAGATAAAAGACTATATTGTATTACCAGATGCCTGAATATATATATAATATTTTTATGACATCAGTTGTTACTATAAAATTGTCTGGGTTTTCATATGATGAGTAATTCCTCACCCATCCGTCCTACACAAACAGATTTGGTAATACAGGAATAGGAAGTGCAATAGGCAGCAGCCTGGTGGTGGGTGTGTCTACACATGTGCTTAACTGTGGAGTTGACTAATGAGTTCTCCAGTAAAGCATTGCAGTCTACATGTGCATCCATGTTAGGGCGCAGTAAATTAATTAACTCTGCTGTAGAATAGTACTGTTTGGGACAAGTACTACCCTACAGTAGAGTAGTTCATGCTCTCAAACACATGTATAGACTGACCAGGGCTGGCTGGGGCATGAGAGTACTACAATGCAGGGGCTACCTAGCCTTGCACCATAGTGTCCTTGTACCCTAGGCAACGCCTCTGCTGTCTGATGCCATCACCCAGAGCCTGGGGCTCACTCCCTGGGATTCCTGCCGGCCCAGGTCTGCTCAACTCTGGCTTGAATTGCTGCGGTCCTGAGCGCAAGTGAAGACACTGTCCTGGGAAGCAGCTGACTCCAGCATAAAATGCACCACAGTTTATTCAGGCACATTAATAACACATGCGAACGTGCCCAGTGTAGACACAGCTAAAGATTAGGGGTTACCAACTTACTGCTTCTTTAGCAGAGGATGTGTGGCTAGCGGATGTAATTGTGGACCCTCTGCCTACACCCCAGCACGGTGTAGACACAGCCATACCTGCCTTTTGCAGAGCTCATCTTTGCTTTATACAACGGTTGTAGGGTCTTCTTTATATCTACTCTGTTGCTTGCCATTGCATAAAGGAAATGTTGTGGTAGCGCTCCATGGGGAGAGGGGCCCATAAGCAGCTGGGCAAGCTCATAGTGGCTGAATTTAGTGATATTATTTACACGGTGCTGCAGTCTAGTGGACTCCACCTGTTGTTTCCTGGGGGATGCTGTATACCTGCCTATGAATCTCAGCCAGAATAGACCACCAGCTACTTTAAAAAAAGCTTACTGCAGAGCGTGCATCCCATTTGAAACCAACCAGTCTGGACTGCATGTTGAGATTTTTCAGAAAATCTGGCTGTTGGCATCATAATGAAAGATACCATGCGCTGGTTTATTTTATGAAAAATCTGGCATGATTATACATGCTGAAAATGTGAAAATCTACCCTCATTTCTTTCACAAGAATGTAACGAAGATCCAACATTATTAATAGCTCTGGGAAAATGATTTGTTTCAAACTTACAGGAATATGGCCAGCTGCATTAACTGGCTTCCAACAGTTTATACCAAACATCGGAATATCACCAAAATCTGCAACTTTAGGTCTTGATGCTGTCCCTTTTAACTTCACTGGTAAATCCCTTGAGGTTTGGCTGCCACACTCGAGCCCTGCAGCACTCAGCTTTGAATTTTCCCTTTCTGGAAGTGGAGCTGCATTTCTTCAAAGGGATCTAATACTGAAAGGCACTTCCTCAAGTTTATTTGAGTGTTGATTCACGCCATGCTAGTGATAAACTGTTGTTCAGTAGATTACCTACGTTTGCCACTCATTTTGGCTTATTCCAAAGGAAACCAAAAGAAAGGTGATGATTAAAACACATGCATTAGTTCTGCTGTATTCTGGGCTGCAGTTATACACTGTTTGCTGCAATGAGGCAGCATGGGTGTTAAGGCAGAATTTCTACATTTTACTAATACACAGGACAGGAAACATTTGGAGATTTAGCTTGCATTTCTGCCCCGCCAACAGGCTGAAGTGTAACAACTGCAAATCTACACTGGGGATTATGCTTTACCATCTTTGTAAAACAATTTGATTTTTTTCCAAGATGAAGTTAGGAAAAATGCAGGCAATTATGTTGTATCCAAGGCAAAATCTTGGCAGATAAGAGAGTCTAAGTATTTGTACTTGGTCTGTGGGGGTGATTTTTGATTTTTTTAGGAGTTAGGGCTGACAGAAGATATTGTTATAGTATCCTTCATGCTATCATAAATCACGACACGACCACCATCTGAAACAGATGGGGTGTGGTCAGCTATTTCCTTGCAAGTCACCATGATCCAATGGTCTGTGCATGCTGCTCTGGGACAGGGAAAACACGAAGGTCATTAAGTGGAGGTGATACGGTATATGTCAGCAATTAATCACGAGAACAGGAAGATTAATTGCAGTATGGAACAGAGAGAACATCTCTGTGAATTATGTAATTCCATTTGGAATAAAGCCATGTAAAGCTACCGGAGGATCAGGACTTCAATAGACTCAACTTCCTTTTCTAATGCCCCCGCTAAGTACTTATTCCTCTCCTGCTGCTCCAATTGCATCATCTTTCAGGTTGTATATTGCCCCATGTTCCACATATGGCAAAACACGTGTTTCACAGCAACGGTTCATGAGGTGCTACTTGTTTGACCTCCTGTCCACTGCTCATGTTCTTATAGAAATCTTTCCAAGTATAATATAAACTTTTGATTATGTTTCAGGTCTTTCAGAATAAAGATCCCAGGTGAATAACGGCATGCATATGTTCATTAGCAGGAGAAGTATAAATGTAATGGGATTAATATTTTCATCAATCTGGGCCTCTTTCTGTTTCCTCTCAGCACTTGTCTATGTGATTCCCTCACTTGGTCCAGATGGTGTCTGCCTTTGCCTTCTGCATCAAGGTCAAGCTGTGCTCCATTGTGCCACCATTTCCACCTCCATGCATGCTACATCCTGCCTCCCGTTGCTTTTCATGTTCTTTATCTTAAGACTGTCGGCTGGGAGTAATTTCCAGCTTCCTGTGCACTGGCCACATTCACACCCTTTTCAAGCCCACTTTCTTTAAGTTACTTCCCCAAGTACTCCTTTTTTTTGACCACATCTTGCTTTGAAACTGGTATTGTATTTGTCTTTATTGCATTTGTCAGATTATACCTGGGTCAGATCTTTGGGTACTGCTGAAGTATGCAGTATCAGGGGTGACTGGTGCCTCCTGAGCCTAGGGGTGCAAAATTTGTGGATGGGCCTGGGGGGGGGCCAAAAGCCTCATATCCACTCCTATACTTCTGTGCTGTGACTTAGTGCTCCCCCCCAACATGCCACTCACCCATGTGGCAAAAAAACTGCCCCGTTCTGAGCGGTGCCACGTCAAGGGCCAATCTTGGGAGGGCACATGTCCCCCCTAGCAGTTGCCTGTGTGCAGTGTGTATGGTTGGGATTTGTATGCACAGCTTTCCTTGATGCTGCCCTCACTCTTCTGCTGTTTTGTCCTATCTTTATTCCACATAGTTTCTTATAGTGGACCAGGTTATCCAAGCAGCATTAAATAACATGACTAACATGTCGCATTTGTTCTTTCATCGTCGTCCCAGTAGAAAAATGTGAACAGTGCAGTCTCTTGTTTTGGAAGTTTTTAAAGTCTATTCAATGTGTCTGCGAACACATGTGTGCGCACACATTGGTGTGTGTTTATGTTGGAGAAGATAGGGGAAAGAAAAATGCAGCTTGCGTTTAGTGTGGAAGGGGGTAATATTTATAGCAGTTTTTAGTTCCTGTAGGAGTTCCTTCCACAATCTTTCATGAGCTCCAGAATAAGCCCTTCCATGGTTATTGATCTTGCTGTGTGTTCAGACATCCTGAAGTTTGCTCTGACTTATAGTAGGCTGCAATGACTGCAAAAAGCCAAAACAGTATTGCCCAATAGTGCTCAACTTTTTGGCTTGCAGGCCAAACCAGTAGTGCGAGGCTGGTCCATGGGCTGGATTGACCCAGTGCCCCAGAATTAGGCCCACATACCAGGATTTAGACTTTGCCATCTCTGCCTAGCCCAAATGCAGGGACTGGGGTCCCAGGACCCTGTGCAACTTCAGCTGGTCTCTGCATGTTGGAAGCAGGGCCCTGTTGCCTCCGCCCAGCCCACGTGCAGGGATTGAGCTCCCAGGCTTATGCTGCTTTTGCCAGGCTCTGTGCACTGGGATCAAGCCCTGTGCCGCCTCTGCCTAACCCTATGTTACACCTCCTTAGTAGGGCCCCATGTACCAGGATCAGGCCCTACACTGCCCTGTGC